TGTGTGTGTGTGTGTGTGTGTGTGTGTGTGTGTGTGTGTGTGTGTGTGTGTATAGATATATTTATATAAATTTTACTGATCCTTTCAACGACCTTTTGAGATAATTGCTATTATCCCATTTTCATAGCTAAGGAAACTGTGGTCAAATGAGTTGCTCAACATTGGAGGGTTAGTGTCAGACATGGCATTTGAACCTTGATTTCTCCTGACCTCAAAATCAGCCTTTTTCCCATGATGCTATCCTCCCCTTCCTCTTCATGGCCTGTATTGTATTACTATAAACAGTCTCACAGATGGAAAGTTGAAAGGGACTTTAGGTTATGAAAATACAAATTCATCAAATACAAGTCTTTATTTCACAGAAGAAAAAACTGAGGCACAGAGAGGTTAAATGTCTGCCTAGGGTCATAGAGCCAGCAAGTGTCTGAGGCAGAATTTAAAGCCAGGTCTTCCTAACTCCAGGTCCAGTGCTCTATCCACTACACTACTCACTCATCTTGAGTCAGGCCTCTTTCTTTAGGAACCTCCACGTACGAGTTTCATTTGTTCCTGATTCTGCTCTTCCTGTTTGCGTCTCTACCATGTGTTTCCCTCCTAGACTCCCATCTTTGAATTTTGGATTGGAGGCTGATAAATGTGACCCTGATTTCTTTCCTTTGAACGATGGTTTGGTTTTGATATTATAGCCCCAGACTGCATTCAGATTCTGATTCATCCATTAACAGTAGCTACACAAGAAGGATTTGATTCCCTTCTTCAGGAACTGACAACTCACAGTGTTCTGTGTCCAGATATCCCCGACACAGGATTTATTGTCAGAATGCTGGGGGTTTAGCTCTTCCTCTTCCATTAGCAGGTAGAGTTCCTTCATGCTGTTCACCTGTTAAGGAAACACAACAGGTAAAACTGAGAACTTGTTGAACCTTTTTGGAGAACAGTATGACAGGAGGCAGCAACATTTGTAAATATAATCCTACTTTTTCACTCAGTATTTCCAATATACCTTGAAAGTCCTTTCAAGAACCAAAAATCTGTTCCATGACATTCATAGCAAAATCAGAACACAGGATACACTATGACTGTGTAAGAGGGGGAAAAAAGCGAAGAAATGGACAAAGGATCCTTATGGAGACGTAGAAAAAGTAACTGAAAAGTTGTTGTGCAAAAAATGTAGAAGGACCTTTATAAAATAATGAAAAGTGAAAACAGCCAAACTGGAACAGAAAACATACTATGTATGACCATGTAAAAGGAAAAATGAATGAGAATAAATGGACAAAGAATCCTCATGGAGACGGAAGGAATGACTGAAAAGCTATTATGAGACTTTATGAATTGAAATTAATTTACTTATCCTTTTTTGGTCAACTTTGCCAATTTGCTTCAGAGTTGGTTTAATTACTAATTCTCTATTAGTGGTTTGAAGCATTTTTTCATGTGGTTATAGATAGGTTGTATTTCTTCCTTTAAAACTTGCCTGTTTATATCCCTGACCATTTATTAATTGTCAAAAATCACCAAAATTGTCCATTTTATCTTTTGTACTTTGTTTGGGCACAGTCATCTCAAAGAATTTATCCCTTGCCACTCTAAATTTGTTTATGATGTGAGCTTTTGTATGTAAGTCTTGTATCAGTTTGGAGCATATCTTGTATATAGTGTGAGGTGTTGGCCTAAACCCAATTTCTGGATGATTTTGATTACATAAGATATAAAAGGTTATTTTTTGTATAAACAAAACCAACAGTTAAGATTAGGAAACAATTAAATGAGAGAAAATAACCTTTGCAGCAAGTTTCTCTGATAAACGTCTCATTTCCAAGACATAAGGAATTGATTCAAATCTATATAAATAAGATCATTTAACAAATGGTTAAAGAATATCAATTAGTCAGTCTTCAGAAAGCTAACCTATTAACATCCACATGAAAAAGATGCTCTAAATCACTAATAATTAAAGAAATTAAAATTAAAACAACTCTGAGGTTCCACTTCATACCCATCAAAATGGGAAAGATGACAAAAAAGAAAAATAACATGTTAAAAGAGCTGCAGAAAAGCAGGAACATTAATGTAATTTTGGTAGAGCAGTCTTCTGTTGATAGTTATTCTGGAGAGTAATTTGGAACTATGCCCCCAAAGTTAATACACTGTGTATGCCTTCTGATCCTGTGATATTACTACTATGCCTATAATCCAAAGAAAGCAAAAAGGAAAAAAGACCTATATGTATGAAAATATTTATAGAAGCTCTTTTGCAGTATTGAAGAACTGGAAATTAAATGGGTCCATCAATTAAAGAACAACTGAACAAATTATGGTATATGAATGCTATTATCTCATAAGAAATGGTAAAAAGGATAGTTTCAGTGAAACCTTGGATGACTTGTGTAAACTGATGCAGTGAAGTGAACAGAACTAGAACAATTTATATAAGAACAATATTTTGAAACACCTAAGAATCCTGATTCATACAATGACCATTGAAGACTCCAGAGAATCAATGATGATATAATCTATCCATCTCCTGACAAGTGATGTACTCAAGATACAAAATAAAACATACCAATATATAAATTGGCCAATATAAGAATTTGTTTTGCTTGACTCTGCGTATTTGTTACAAGGATTTTGTTTTTCTTTCTTTTCAATGGGGGAAGGGAGTAGCAAGGAGAGAAAAATTCATTAAAAAGTTTAAAAAATTAGAAACTAATTTACTTAACTATAGATAGTTACTAAGCAAGTTTATTTGGTTGTAATGATGTCAATATTAGTTCATAAAATGTTTACTTAAAACCCCAAAATGCCACCAGTTGACAGGGATGATATTCTTACCTAGGTCATAAAGACCCCCCCCCCCATAATGAGGCCACCATTGATATACAGCTGAGGCCTGCTTGAAAGATCATCTACAACTAGCAATATAGCCCTTTCAGGGCTATAGTCTTTATATCATTATTCCTTTTCTTTAATTGGATAGAATAGGGAATAATGCTTTGTATTTTCATTAATATGCTGGCATTTCATGGTAGTCTGTCTAAATAGCATCCTGAATCACATATCTAGTTAAAAACTAAATGATGCGTTTTTTAAAAAAGGTAAACTACCTTAGTCTCCCAATTCATTAGATCTTATCTGTAGAGTACTCCCTCCACCAACCAGTTGTTGTGTCCCACTCTTTGTAACCCCATTTAGGGGTTTCTTGGCAGAGATACTGGAGTGGGTTGTCATCAGCCAGGGCACATCACAATCTACCCCTCTCATCTCTCCATAGAAGATTCATCCACCGAATGTGGTAGAGGCCTTCCTTTGGCTCTTTTCATATTGGGAGGATAGCAGTGTAGCATTTGGACTGTCCATCTGTTATCTTTCATTAGGCCCATTAGGCCCATGACAGGCCCATTTCCTTTTCTGAACATACATATCTTTGATAGTTTGTATATTTTATGCCATGTTTCTGACACAGGTCACTGTTAATAACATACTGCAGTTTGTTTAGACCATAGTCACTTAATACAGTAGCTAAAGTATCTCGTGTCACACTGTTCGAAGAACTGAGCTTCATTAAAGGATTTTTCTTTCCCAGGTTCTTTGGAAAGAAACAATGGTATACACTATAACCCTCAAAGGACTATATTTCTGATATAAGTGATCTTTCAGGCAAGTCTTCATTCTGTATCAATGGTATCCTCATTACAGATGTCCTTTTTGCCTGGGATAAAAAGAAAGCAGGAGGAAATTCAGAAGAGGATACAGATAATCAAAGTACTATCATATTACCACATTAAAGTTAATATGTGCTTTAAAAAACCTAAGTAAGAGGTTCATGGTTTCATATGTAATATGCTTTTTCTGTTCTTTGCATAAGGATATGTTCATGTATGTTAATATCTGTCGAGTTCATAATTTTTTGAAAATTAAAAAACAAAAACAGAGTAGGTGAGGGGCAGTCAGGGTCAGGGCCCTGAGCAAATCAGACCAAAGGAACTTTGGATCACTGTTTAAAAATGTTAGCTATAAATTAGGTCAAAAAACTAGCCATCAATTTTCTAGTAAGCAGGGGCACCCTCAATGTTAGGGCAAAGCACATCCTATCTCAATCCAATCAAATTATTTGCAAAATCACAAACTGCCCAGACAAAGAAAAGAAATAGAAAAGCAGAATCTATAGCTTCATGTAGAGACATGATCATTTCACTTCTCTGTTCAGGAATCTTTAATTCACTCTTTCTTGCCTGAATACAGTTCAGGATCCTTTTCCTGCCATTCATTGCCCTCTTCACACACACACACACACACACACACACACTCCACGTGGCAAACTGCATGACAATGAAAACACTCTACATTCTCTCACTTGCACACCTTTGTTTATACCATGATCCTGTGAGGTAAGAACTATAGCTATAATGGAAACTGAGTCTTAGGCTAAATTGCCCATGAGCTGATAGTATCTGAGGCAAAATTTGAACCCAGGTTATCCATTATACCACGCTGCTTCTAACTGTAGAGATAATGGTGAGAGTTGGGGAGGGCAAGGACAGAGGAAGAAAGAGAAACAACAATAGCGAGCATTTATATAATACCTATTATGTGTCAGGCACTATGCTGATAGAGAGGAAGAGAAAGAGGGAAAGAGAGAAATGGGCAAAAAAAGAAATGGGGGGAGGGGACAGATAGAGGTATACAGGGATGCACAGAGAATAATAAGAGAGAGTGGCTATCCACGTATCTCTGCAGCACCCCTCCAGCCACTGAGGCCTGTGAGCTCCAGGGTCCTCCATACCTCTAGAAAGTCACCGCCCTCACTGGGTAAGATCTTGCCCTGTCTCCAGCGTTTGAGGAACCATTTAAGCTTCATGAAAAGCAGCAGAAAGTTCTGCTTGAACTGTTGGGATTCCTGTACCAGGAGGTTCTTCTCCTGGCTCCAAAACTTCTGCTCTAGCCTCCTCTGGAGGTTCACACTCTGCAGCTCAAACTCCCTGCGTAGGAGAGTCTTCTGTTGATCTTCCTTCAGCTGCAGAAACAGAAACAAAAAAGTGATCAGCCCTGAGGCCCCCTTTTTGATCTTCCCAGGCCCTGCCTTATGTCCGACAAGCACACATGTACATGGGGTGATGTGAGGGATGCTTTATCCCCATTGATCCATTGGTGCTGGTGCCTGCCTGAAATCTCCTCTGCAGTTCATTCCCACCAAGCCTGGAGTAGTCATGAAAAAATGAACCTCCCTCCTTTCTTGGTAGAGTTTGGAGACTATGGTTGTGTAATATTGTATATTCAGTCAGACTCATTTCAAGTGTTGGTTTCTTTTCTTCCTTGCTTCCTTTTTTATTATTTGTTACAAAGGATGGCTTACTTAAAGGATAAGTAGAAGGGGAAAGAATCCATTTGGAAATGAAGGTAATGTTAAAAACAAAAGAGAGTGATAAAAGTCACAATTGAAAAGGGACGAATCGTAGAATGGCAGAGTAGGAAAGCACCCTAGAAAACCGAATTCAAAATGCTAGCAATAAAAGGGATTTTACAGAACATCTAGTCCCACTTCCTCATTTGACAGAGGAATAAACTGAGACACAGAGCATGGAAGTGACTAACTCAAGATCACAAATTAACTCCAGTTTTCTTCTTGACTTGAGAACTCATGAGTCAACATGAATGTGCTTACTCTTAGTAGAGAGGCAAAAAGAGCTCCCAGAAAGGATGTAAAAGGGTTGGTCACCAAAGTCAAACTTTACCTTCTTCACAATTTTGCCAAGAATTGGCTCTGTTCCCCATCCCTCCTTTTCTGGGTCCACAGAGATCTCCTGTGTCTAAGACATATTGCCTCCCCTGACTCCCAGAGGTAAAATTCAGGATCACTGAATTAAGGGATAGAAGGATCCTTAAGAGTCCTGTAGTCCAGCCTTGTCATTTTACAGAAGACAACTGAGGTGTGGGGGGGTCAAGGGAGGGAGGGACTTGTTCATGCTCACACAGCAAGAAAGTAGAGGCAGAATGTGAACCCATTTCCACTGAATCCAAATTCAGTGCTCTAATAACAACAGCATTTTTATAATACCTGCTATGATTCAGAATAATAACCATAATATCTAACATTGATGTAGCACCTAGCACAGGTTCTGCACTAAGAGCTTTACAGATAATTCACCTGATCTTCACAGCCTTTGGAGGCAGATGACATTATTATATCCATTTTACAGTTGAGGAAACTGAGGCAAACAGAGGTTAAGGGACTTGCCCAGGGTCACAGAGCTAGTAAATATCTGATCTGGATTTGAACTCCGGTCTTCCAGACTCCAGGCCCAGCACTCTATCCAGTCAATGTAACCACCCAGCTACTTCTTTTCACTAAGTACGTAGAGCCAAAAAAATTGATGCCAAGGGCCCCAGCACTTTTCTAGACTGTGAACTTCTGCTAAGAACACAGAACACCTACTGTTGTTGTTTTTGGGTTGTACGTCAGAGCAGCTGATGAGGAAGATGTTTCTAGAGGCTTTCTGCTGAAATTTAGGGATTCCCATTATAGCAGTAGAGGGGCTACTGGGTGCAGCTATATGATAAGCAAGTACCCTGGCTTCACCTTCCCCTCCCCTTCCCTCTGTTAGACAAAGAACCCAACCAGCTTTCAACCCCAGATCTCCCACCCTTTCCTCATGAAGAATTAGAAGTCACCTATATTCAAAGGTCTCTTAATCCTCAAATAATTACCATCTCTACACCTGGGAGACCAGACCTTCTCATGCCCTGACAAATTTCTTCTTTGACAGATCTCTAAATAGAACTGAATTCTGACATTCTTTGCATCAGTGTCTGGTTTCTAGCTCTGTGTTCTGAAAGGACACATTTACCAGACTAGCTTCTCTTTCCAGTCACCTGGGAACCACCATAACCTTGGAACCATCCTTGACATTTTTCCCCTCACTGCCCTTGTATCTACTCAGTTACCTAGTCCTGTCAATTCTGCTGCCATGACATCTTTCATATCTGTCCCCTTCTCACAATTCATGCATTTGTCTACCAGTTTGTCCCTCATATGGACTACAGTAATAGTTCCCTAAATGGATTACCTGCATCTAATCTCTCCTTTATTCTATCCAGGCAACTGTGCAAATGATCTTTCTAAGGGTCAGGTATGACCACTTTACTCCCTCACCCCTCTAAAATTTTCCCTGGCTCCTCACTGGTTTTAGGTTATAAGAAAGTTTGCTCACTTGACATTCAAAGACCTCCAAAATCTGGATCCTGTCTACTTTTCCAGGCTTATTTCATGACAATATTACAGCCAAAATGGATTACTAGTTGTTCCCTAAGCACTATATCCTCCATGCTAACCAGCTCTGACTGTTGAAGTCCTTCCCTCCTTTCTTTAAGGACCAACTCTGAAATTACTTCTACCATTAAGCATTCTCTGACTGTCTCCTCCCTCATCAAGTGAAAGTGATATATCCCTCCCCATTTTTTGTTATTGATGCTTTAAAAAAAAAAGTCATACATTGCTGCCATTTCCCAATATCATACCACAACAGAACCCTCCCATATAAGAAAACAAAGTGAAATAAGCAGAGTGAAGTAAGCCCAGTCAAGAGAACAATGTCTATACAACATTGTAAAAGAAAACAACCGTACAAAACCTAAGAACTATGATTAATGCAATGACTAATCAAGACTTGAAAAGACTGATGACGTAGCATGTTTCCCACCTCTTGGCAGAGAGGGTGGACAAGAGATACAGAAAGAGACATTTTCAGACACAGCTAATATATTGATTTTGCTTGACTATAACTATTTGCTATAAGGTAGGGCATTTTTCAGGAAGGTGAGTTGGGAGACTAGGGATAGGAATAATACTGAAAGAAGAAAAGAAGAAAATGGGACAGCTAGGTGGTACAGTGGATAGAGCACTGGTCCTGGAGTCAGGAGGACCCGAGTTCAAATCCAGCCTTAAACACATGATACTCACTAGCTGTGTGACTCTGGGCAAATCACTTAACCCCAATTGCCTCACCAAAAACAAACAAACAAAAAAGTACCAATGAAACATTTTAAAAAATATACAGAAGAGAGCAGAAGGAAATTCAGAAGGGACATAGACAAGTAGGGCAATGTTGGAGAACTACTGGATTAAATATAACATATACTTTAAAAAAAGAAAAAGAAAAGGAGAAGAGAGAAAGTACAGTTACATGAAACAAATTGACACGCTGACCAAGACTGACACAGATGCCTCATACCACATTTGGAGTCCATCACCATTGTATAGATAGGAGGAAAGTTTATTTCATCGTCACCCCTCTAGAAGTCAACATTAGCCATTGCATTGATCTGAGTTGTAATATCTTTCAGTGCCACCTCATTTTTTTCACAGCATTTCCCCTGGACCTCTCCTTTATATCTTTCTTACTATGCCTTTTATTAGATTTACTTATGAATGAAAAAATGAATAAATGAAAAAGCATTCATTAAGCATTCACTATGGACAAAGCTGTGTTCTTTCTTTCTTTCTTTCTATCCTTCTGTCTATCTATCTACATGTCTTTTCCCCTATTACAATAGAATCACAGAATGTCAGAACCAGAATGGGCCTTGGAAATCATTTAGTCCGCCTTTCTCATTTTACAAATGAGGAAATTGAGGCCTAGAGAAGTGAAGTGTTTGTTCAAGGTCACAGCTGGTGAGTGGAAGAATATAACCCAAACTCGGGATTGTTTTTACTTCAAGTCAAAACATGGGCAGCTAGGTGGCACAAGAGATAGAGTACTGAGCCTGGAGTCAGGAAGACCTGAATTCAAATCTGGCCTCAGATACTAGCTGTGTGACCCTGGGCAAGTCACTTGACTCTATTTGCCTCAGTTTCCTCATCTGTAAAATGAACTGGAGAAGGCAATGGCAAACCACTCCAGTATCTTTGCCAAGGAAAAAAAACACTACCCAAATGGTGTCATAAACTGAAACAAATGAACAACAACAAATTTCACTGTAGTGATACACTGTTCTATATCCATCTCCTTGAGATTTGGGTCTGTGTTATAGCTATCTTTGCAGAAGGTACCGTCCAGACAGCTCTGCTGCTGGCTCCCTAGGACACTAAAGCTTTTGTCCTTAGACTGAGGCAAAGGGCTGGCTGGGGTAGAACACAGAACAGGCACTGTCACTGACCTGGAAGATTTTTTGATTGAAATTCTCTGCATCCTCTTTACGCAGCTGCCTCTCTTGGGAAAGCTGTTCTTGAAGGCCCCGAAGGCTCTCATGGGCTTCTGAGAGCACCAGCTGTAGTTCTTTGATCTGGGGAATGATGATGTTGATGAGGATGATGATGATTATGGTGATGATAATAATAATAATAATGTCATATTTGTATAGCACTTTAAAGTGTACTAAGTACTTTCCCAACAACAACTCTGCAGAGTAGGTATTGTAAATACTCCAGTTTTTCAGTGGAAGAAACTGAGGCCCAGACATAACCACAATGTTTAACTGGGGTCAAGCCCTGAGCCCCCAAGTGCTAATGTTCTCTTAGAACCAAGGCACACTGTTCACTACACTCTTGCCATGAGAGACAGACTCAAAGCCCTGTTGAAGTCTTCCTTCACTGGGAGATCCAGGGGACTCAGGAAGGAGTAAAGTCAGAAATCCCTGTCTTTTATCCTTAAATGTTCCCCACGGAATTGTCCTGGGAGTATAGTGGTACCTCTGACCCCTTCTACACAAAGCACATGGTCATTCCTCCTTTACTCTTTTCCCATTAATCTATGCTTCATAACACAGCTAGCCCTAAGCCCATTTTCAGTTCTCTCTAGCCCAAAGTAACTTCTCCCTTTGAACCTTCTGCAACATTTACTGCTCACTTTACTCATCTGGCAACTAATCACAAATGGCCTTGTGTCACTTCTCATATTATGATTTCATACCTCATAGGCTTGTCTGGTTTCCCCAATTAGACTGTAAGCTTCTTGAGAGTCAGGAACTCTGTGTTAAATCTCTTCTGTATCACCACACATGTGTACACATAATACCTAGCACAGAGCCTGAGCTCAGCAAATATTGCTTGACCGATCAATCAATATTAAGCACCTACTATGTGCCAAGTACTGTGCTAAGTGCTGGGGATACAAAAAGAGGCAAAAGACTTGTCCTCAAGGAGCTTATAATTGAATGGGGGAGACGACATGCAAACAAATATATGCAAAGCAATCTATATACAGGATAAATAGGAGATAATTAACAGAGATAAGGCACTGGAATTACGAGAGGTTGGGGGAAGCCTTCCTGTAGAAGGTGGGATTTCAGCTGGGACTTAAAGGAAGCCAGGGAGGTCAGTAGTTGGAGTTGAGGAACTATTGAGTAGTAGAATGGCATAGTCAGACCTGGACTTTAGGAAAATCACTTTGGTGGCTGAATGGAGGATGGACTGGAGTAGGGAGGAGACTTGAGGCAGGCAGACCCACCAGCAAGCTACTGCAACAATCCAGACATGAAATGATGAGGGCCTGCACCAGGTGGTGGCAGTGTCAGAGGAGAGAAGGGGGATATTCAGGAGATGTTGCAAAGGTGAAATCAGCAGGCAAATGATTAATTGACTACAAACATGGCATTCATGTTGTTCTCTCATTGACCCCCTTAGGTATTCAAATGTTATCAGTCCCAGTCTTGTTTTCTGTCCACTATACCTTGCTGGAGCCCCATTAACATACACAAACTGCCATCCTCAATAAATGTCTATGTCCCTAGTAGAGGACCCCTAAAATATATGTCTGAATAAGGCCTGAATTGGCTTTATGGGCCACCCTAGGAAATCATTACAGACCTAAGAGAAGGACCCCCAGGGGCATGGTGATTCTAGAACAGGTTCTGGGCAGCTCCAGGGCACAAGCCCAAGTGGCAATCAAACCAACCCTATGGTCATAAGATCATAGACCTGAAGCTGGAAGATACCTCCAGATCGATTTAGTCCAACCCCCCTTAATTTTACAGATGAGGAAACAAAGGCCCAGGGAGGTCAATGAACAAAGTAATAAGCGTCAAAGGTGAGATTTCACCCAACCGTCCCAGAGCAAGGAAAGACCCTTGAAAGCCAGCCTGAGTCCAGAGAGACCCCTTAGACTAGCTATGGATTTTCCAGATCTCAACTTATCCTGTACCCAGGGAAACCTCAAGGAGGCCTGCTAAGATTTATGATAAACTTGAGAAAGGCAGCATAACTTGTAATATGCTGGGGGGAATGGGACAACCTAACACTCCTTCCTCATAGAATCCCTTCCTTCAAGATGCAGCTCAAGTACCACCTCCATGAAGCCTTTCTTGATTCCCCCCCACAACTGCTAATGACTTCCCTTCCAACCTACCTTTTATTTTAACTACTTTTAATTTATTTTGTATTTATTCTGTATGTAGTTATGTTCTTGTCTCCTTTGGAAGAGTGTAAGCTCCTTGATGGCAGAGATTGTTTCATTCTAACACAGGGCTTATACATTGGAGGCACTTGACAAATGCCTGCTGATTGATTGACTTTTGGGGACTGCTCCAGAATCCCTTCTTATGAGGCCTAGCCTTCTTGTCCTGGAGTTCCCTGCTCTAACCATTCCCAGGACCCCCTGGCCCAGGCGCACCTCAGTAGCATAGGATTCATTGTCTTCAGCTTGATAAGTCTTGTAGCTCCGGGTGAGTTCGGGTTTGGGATCCGGGTCGCTGCTAGTGCTGCAGAAGGCCTCCCTGGCCCGGGGCTCCCAGTCTGGCAGGTCTCTAAAGTCAGGCTGCATGCACGAGCAAACCAATGAGAACAAACAAAAAGAGCTGGGAGATCAAAGGGGTGAGGAGAATAACCCAGAAAAACAGAACAATGGGTATCCAAGAACAGCAAAAGCTACAAGATGAGGAAAAGGAGGAGGGAAGGTACAGTATGGCACAGGAAAGTAAAGAAAACAAAGTAAAAAAACAAAAAACGATGAGCAGGAAATAAGTGGACTGAGTTGTATAGGGGGAGGGGAATAGGAAGAGGAGAAAAGAGAAAATGGAAAAGGGAGAAGGGGAAAATGTACAGACACTAATATGGTATCATGCAGAAGCAGGGGAAGGGAAACCAGGGCCCAAGGAGGCAATACTCTCAATAAATGACCCCATACTTGATCCTTCAGCCCATCTTTCTCCAGGACATGTTGAAAGGGAAAGCCCCACTCCCTGCACCTTTGGCTTCTTTGATCTCTTTTGAGCTGCAAGGACTATATTCCATTTTCATCTAATCCCATTACTTGTTTGGTTTAGCTGAGTTAAGACCTGCCTCTCAGAGAAAGAGATGAGAAAATAGAAAATCTCTGTTCTCCTATTTATAATACTTATAATAATAATAATAATAATTAAAACTGACATTTACATATCACTTTAATCCTTGCAAAGCACTTTACATATATTTTCTCCTTTGGAGCTTATCAACAATCTTGTAAGGTAGGCAGGTGCTTTTCTTATTTTCATTTTACAGATTAGGAAACTGAGGCTCATAGAAATGAAGTGACTTGTGAAGGGTTGCAGAACCAGGAAAGGTCTGACCTAAGATTTGAACCCACGTCTTATTAACTTCAAGTCTAGCATCCTGTACATTATGACTCTCTGACTATATATGCTGTTTGGGGGCAGGAAGAAAAACACCTTCCCGCTCTACAGAGGCAAGAAGTTTTTAGAACAGGGGCACTTTGGAGAGGGGAGAGAGCAACTGTTACCTTTGAGCTTTCGTGAGGTTGGTGTATGTAGCTGTGGTCTGAGTGTTGGTGCCTGTGGCTGTGTAGCTCAGACAATGGGGAAGCTGTAGTTCAGTATGAATCTCACAGCTCTCTGGCGTGTGGTAGGTATATGTTGTAATATGGTACATCCTGTGTGTGTGTCGTGGGGAGTCTATAGGGACAAAGACTGTGTCCTGGATCATGAGAACAGCACGTGGGAAGGAAATAGCATCAGAAGGGACCTCCAGGGTCATCTAGTCCCTTTGAGAGATGAGAAAACTAAGGCCCGGAGGGAAGTAGCTTGCCAAAGCTCATGCAGGCAGGAAGTAGCCTTGCTGGCATTCAAACCCAAGTGCTCTAACTCCAATCTAGTGTTCTCCCCATTATACTGTGCCCCTCTCTCTGTAAATCCCCCTCAATCCTATCATGGTGCCTGGCACACTGGTACTCATACATGTTTGCTGATTGACTGAATGGATATATTCACTCAGTTATTTAATATGCCTTTATTAAGTATCAATTATGTGCCAGAACTTTGATGGGCCCTGGGAATTCAGAGACAAAAATAAAACAGCCCTAGCCCTCTACTGAGGATGAACGTACACACTTAAGTAAATGCAGAGTATTTGGGGTGGGGGAGGGCAGAAGGGCACTAGCAACTGGCCCCATGTAGGAGGTGGCTCAGGAGCTGAGTTTCAAAGGAAGCTAGATTGGAGAGATAGATGAGGAGGGAGTGAATTCCAGGCACGAAGGACAGCCCGAGCAAAGGCAAGTGGGAGACAAAATGTTGTGTTTGGGAAACAAGTAGGCCAGCTTGGTTAGAACACAGAGTTCATGAAGAGGAGAAATAGGTGATAAGCCTGGAAAGATGGGCTCCAGACAGATTTTGGAGGACTTAAAAGCCAAGTAGAAGAGTTTGTCATGTATCTTGGAGGCAACAGGGGGCCACTGGAACTTCCTGAGTAGAATTCTGGTTGACATGGTCAGACCTGAGCTTTAGGAAAATTTATTTGGCAGCTTTATGGAGAACAGATTGGAGATGAAAGAGGCTTGTAACAGGCAGACCAATCAGGACGTTGTTACAGTAGCCCAAGCAAGAGATGATGAGAGTCTGGACTAGGGTGGTGACCCAGTGAGGTGAGAGAAGGAATATGTGCCTGGTTCTTAAGCAGCGATGACTTGCACCTTTTAATGCCTAACAGCATTATCAGTAGTTATTACCATATTAACCATATTACTAGTAATAATTACCATATTAACAATATGGCCATGAACTGTTAGGTATTAAAGTTATCTGCATTTGTCTCAAATCTCCAAACTAGACTATAAACTGTATGAGGACAGGGCATAGGCCTCATAAGTCATAGATTCCTCCAACAGAATGTGAGCTGCTGCTTCTTCTTCTTCTTCTTCTTCTTTTTTTTTTTTTTTTTTGGTGAGGCAGTTGGGGTTAAGTGACTCGCCCAGAGTTATACAGCTAGTAAGTGTTATGTGTCTGAGGCCGAATTTGAACTCAGGTCCTCCTGACTCCAGAGTCAGTGCTCTATCCACTGCACCACCTAGCTGCCCCAGAATATGAGCTTCTTGAAGGCAAGAGCCATTTAATTTTTGTCTCTGTATCTTTAGCAACCTAGCACATATTATGCATTTAATAAATGCTTGTTGATAGTCTATTGAATGAATGCATATAATGAGCTAGATGTTCTCTGAATGTAGCTACTTAGAAAAGCTACATGAATTCCTTCATACTACTACAAAAGGGGTTCTTAACCCAGGGTCAGTAAACCTTTTTTTAAAAAATACTTGATAACTAACTATTTTGATATGATTAATTTCCTTTATAATTCTATGTATTTTATTTTATGCATTTAAAAACATTATTCTGAGAGGTCTATAGGTTCCACTAGATTGCCCAAGGAGTCTATGATACAAAATAGTTACAATATATACAATAGATACAAAGAAACCCTGCATGAGGGTATCCATGACATGATGTTCCTATCCTACCTCCTTCCTTCTTTTCTTTTCTTGTCCAACCTTCAAGGCTCAGCTTCTTCCTCAAATCTACCTCTACTCCTCTAGCCCCTATTAACTTCTCTCAGATCTGAACTTCAGTAACATGTAGAGACTCATAACACTGGAACTTATCCTGTCTTATATTTCTCTCTGAGTGGCCCTTTGTTAGTGTCATCTTACTAAAAAATTTATAAGATCCCTGAGGGCACAGGTTTTGTGTTTTACAAATATTCCAACAGTGGGAGGTACACTGCTAGGCAAAGAGTAAGGGCTCCATAAATGCCCATTGAATGATTCACCCTGTAACCAGTTAGCTCAGCAGGTCAAGATGACAGGATTCAGCTCCTTACAGGCCTGAGAGCTTTGTTCTGTTCCTCAAAGTTACCATCTGCACATTGGCCCTTGGCCAACTCTCTCACAAATGCATGCCATGATCACTAGAAGAATAACCAGGGGACACTCAGTATTATCTAACATGGCTAGTGCTAAGGATGGTGCTCTTCACCCTGAACTGTTTTACAAATGTCTGCTTAATGAAATGGAATGCCAGGGCACTGTCCTGGAGTGGGAAGTTTATTTCTTCCCTAAAATGAATTTTTTCAAATGCTTTGAATATTCAGTGGTACAGAGTCCTTCTGAGACACCAGGCATTTATTGGCCAGAGAAGTATGGAAGTTCAGGCAACTATGGCTCCCCAGCTACTGAGCCTTAGGGAAAAGGTTTTAGGAATCCAGACACCAAGGAAGGTCTGTTGGCACTGATTAAGTACAAGCAAGGCTTCGCCGACTTAGTAAGGGCCTTGACACAGCCCCTTCATTTCACTTCCTAAAACTTACCTCATTTCAAGCTGGTATGTCTTTCTTGAATACACAGTCCTTTCTGTTTTTCTGACCTTGGGAATGCTGCCCTGAGGCCACCTGGAATGCATTGCCCTCCCACTACCTGCTATACATGTGCCTTCAAGGCCCAGCTCAAGCCCAACCTCTTTGATAAAGTCTTCCTTCCACAACTCTGCTAGCTTTCCATAACTCTCTAAACTGCCCATTAGCATGAATAGTTATAGAAACCAAATATATGCTGCCTTATTCCATTTTCAAAGTATAACCAGTATCTTGGTAACTGAACTGTTAGTTCCTCTAGGTAAAGACCTATTGCAGGGCAAGGCATAAAAGAGGTACTCAGTGAACAGGATGATAAGATCGCAAACTTTGCACTAGAATTAACCCTAATTTTAGCCCAAATCCTGTCATTTTACACAGGATGTAACTGAGGCCCAGAGAGGGGAATGAACACACCAGTAATAAGTCAAAGAGCCAGGTTTTGAATCCATGTATTCCTACTACTAATCCAGTGTTCTTTCCACTATACTCCATGGACACACATTGATTACTTGAATGCCCACTTCATGCACTTGCAGATTGGACAACATCCATACTATCAAATCATTGGTGGTACCACAGTATAGTGCATATAGCATGTCCCATTTCCCTGTAAAGGAACAGGACAGTGAAAGAGGGAGGTATAAGTTGGTTTGGGTTCCGTTAAAAAGCAAAAAAGGTTAGCATGGCAAAGAAATCTGTAATTGTAGTGAGGAATACACTCCACCTGAGAGAAAGAAGAATGACCTTAGTCTTACCTGGAAGTCAGAGCCATGCTCTTTGCCCAGAACTTCCTTGGAGGAATCCTGGGCCCCTGGGATTGGCAGAGAGGAGGTTTCTGTAGACTCTTTCAGAGAGTCCCCAATGCTATTATCCACTTTCCTCATGAAAGTGTTCAGCTCCTGCTGCAGAAGCCCAAGCCTTACGAAGATAACATTGATAAGTTTGGAATCGCTGGGGCTCTCGCTGTTGTCCAGGGACTCATTCAACATGAGGTCTGCACAATCATTGTCCAGGCATAGCTTGAGGCTGGATATGAAGCCATTGGCATCTGAAATTAATACATCGATAGCTTTGCTGACCAGGGCAGCCTGGTCCCGGATGCTTGGCAAAGCCTCCAGGTCTCTGGTTTTAAAGAGCTTGGTGAGGTGGGGGTCAGGTAGCTTTGCGACACCATTGTCCGCTGTCCGCTCAGGGTGGCCTAGAGTATCGTTCTCTCCCCCAATGGGCACTTCTCTCCAGAGGGTGGTGGGGATGCACTGGGCAGAATCCCCAGCCTCAGCATCTGTCTCGAGCATGGGCCGCATGGTCTGACAGGAGGCCAGGTCGCAGCGCTGCAGGTTGGAGAGCAGGACCCGGTTCTCATACTGCAACTTCTTTACCTTCCCACTGAGCTCGCTGATCTGGATCTTGGCAGTGGCCAGCTCCTCCTGAGATGGCTCACTGATCACCGAGCAGCTGTCCTCGGACAAGGCGACGTCCAGGTCGTGCTCTGACTTGTACTTGTTCAGCTCATTCATGAGAAGTTTGTTCTGGTCTTCCAACTCAGCAGAAGACCTCCTCAGGAGCTCGGCTTCCTCCTCCACAAACTGAAGGTGTCTCCTCAGCTCAGCCAGGCTCTCCCCGGACTCCCCCCCGCAGTTTGTGGAAGAAAAAGCAAACCGTATGTCAGGGCCAATGTAGTCTTTGTCACCCTGCCCTCTCGTGTCCTCCATCTCCGCCCTCAGCCCCCGGTTCTCCACCTCAAGCTCGACGATCCGGCGGCTCAAGATGTTGGCCTCTTCCTCGACAAGCTTGAGATGCGCCTTCAGCTCGGCTTCCCTCGAGTGAGGGGAGTCAGCGAGCTCCTCCACAGACAAGGAGCTGTCCAAGTCCCCATACAGAGACCGGTACTTGACCAGCTCCTCCTTCATGCTGTCGTTGTCCTTAGCTAATTTAGTGAGCTTCTTGCACATCAGGGCTGACTCTTCCTTGGCAAAGTGCAACTGACACTTCAGATCTGCGTTGTCCTCCTAAGAGCCAGAAACAGACATAAAATTTTAAAAAAATGCCAAGAATGTTATCAGTAGAACCACATTTGGCTTGGTGGCCTATTGTCTCATGTCCTCAGCTGCCTGAGTTATGGGACCTAGGGCAAATCGCTTCGTCTCATTTTCCTCATCTGTAAAATGGAGATAATAACATTTTCTGCCTTCCTTACAGGATGGTTGGGGCAATTAAAAAGCACTTGGAGAATTTGTTTGGTACTTTTCTAATGCTCCTTTGGGTTTATTTTATCAAATGCACAGGTTATCTCCCATAGCTGGAATGTCCCCCATCCACCTTTGCCTCTGGAACTCCTCAATCCCTTTGAGGCTTGACTTACACAACCTCCACCAAGGGCACTTTCCTGATCTCCCCAGGGGTTTGTTCCCCTGAACCCATCACCTTACATTTGTCTTGCATATATTGTGTATTCATTTACCTATGAAGATGTCGCATCTTCTACCCTCACCCCATGTAGAATGTAATCTCGGAGGGCAAGGACCTTTTTACAGTCAGTTCTGTTGTAATGCATATTTCAAAAATGCCATCTTGTTCCAACGTGATAGATATATTTGGGAACATTTTGAGCATAATTTGAAACAATGAGAATGAAGAAAACTATAGCACTTCACAACAACTCACAAGCTGTAACCCATTTGAGGCCTGCTTCCACATGCAAACTTTAGGTCTTTATCAAGATAATTGACCATATTTGTTATATATCATCTGGTGCAGTAGGAGCTGGTCTGAACCACCCCCGCCACTCACCCCCTCTTCCACCGTGCCCAGAGTTTTGGTCTGCCCAATTTGCTTGTATGGCCCAGGCACAGGCCAAGCAGCAGCCCAAGGCCACAGAAATGGCCATTATCTATTGGAATATTTATATATTCCATAACTTTTAACATGGATATAAAATTGTGCTACTGGTTTTCATTACATTCTTATCATTTTTTTTAATGTGTCACTCATGAAGTTTTTGAGTGTCATATTCCTAAACTCATTTTCCCCATAAAATCTGTGGTTTTTACTGACTGGTTTTGCATAGCTCAGGGCTTTCTAGGAACATATATGTTGAATTGTAGCAGAACTGACTGTATTTGTATCCTGAGTACATAGGACATAGTAGACACTTGATAAATTATTAAATTATTAGCATTATTAAAATTCAAGTAACTCCCAGTCTACATCTCTGGCCCTAAATCTCTCCTGAAATCCACTCTGTTATCACTATTTGTTATAGATATCTTGACAGATCTTGTACAGTTTTTCATTTCTCTGTTGCCCTCCTTCCAGTTTTATACTTAAATGCTTTCACAGGATGACCTGACTTAGCTGGGTCTCTCAAGGATGATCTGATTTAACCGAATATCTTATCACCATACTTTCTATAAATTGTTTTCTTCCCTCAATTACATTTCACTATTTTATGAGGCATAATCTTCCATAATTCTCTAAGATTTTATAAACAAGCTAATACTCTAAATTGATGTCCTTGGCTGCCATAGTTCTATGCCTGGTAAGACAATTGTTTGTTTTTGTTGTTTACTGACTGAGTAGTTGATAGGCCTTTATGACCTCTTTGTGATTTGGGGGAAGGGAAGGGTAAGGAAAAACCTGTAATTTCATTAGAATTTCCAGGGAGGAAACTCCCCTACAAAAGTAGATTGCTTCCTATTCTGTAACTTACAGCATTAGAAAGTTACCTGGGCCATTGAGAGGTTAAGTGTTCAGGGTCACACAACCTGTATGTCTCAGATAAGGAACTTAAAAGCCCAGGTTTTCCTGACTTGGACGCCATCTATTTATCTATACACAACATGACCTTATACTCAAAATCATACGGAGTCACTGGGGCTTGAACCCAGTTATATAACTGAAATGGTCACTATAGAGACGAGACTATAAAAGGAGCAAAATGAGGCAAGAGCATGGATAATGGGAGAAAAGGGAGGGGCAGAAGGACTGTAGGTCTGAATGAGGATGAAGAATAATTTATGAAGAATGAGGCAGAAAGAGGGGAACTTCAGAGCTCAAGAGCAAGAAAAGAGCACAATTCTGGGTATGGTCTAAGATGTGTCCTCTCTCCTGGCTGATTAAGGTGGAGTCAAGGTCAAAGTCTTGGGAGTCAAGGAGGTGGATGGAAGGGTGCTGAAGGGCATATGATGCTTTCCATTTCCTGGTACCTATGGGATCCTGGTTCCCTCTGGTGGACAGCTCATCCTTCTTCATTTTGGGTCGCTCCTACTTTCAGGTTCCTTGACAAACTAAGCCAGTAACAGAGATAAGCTTTCAGACCTTCTTCCCACAATCACTGGGCAGCATCTGAAGGTGCTGGTATCTAATTATATCACTTTGACATGATCTTTATTGCTGTAGTCTACTGCCCTCCCAATCATATACCCTCTTTTCTCAAAGAGTTTAGTACCTGACTCAGTCTTCCTTTCCAATCCAAAACTTTGCCTGTATATTTAGGAACTTCAGTATATAAGTACCAGAAGTAGAAAGTGTAAGAAAGGATTTGGTTAGATAGGAGTTCTCTAATGACAGTGCAGGGGTTCCAGAGGATACGATGGAAGGAGGATGGAAAGTAGAAAATGGCAGGACTGAGTTAGATGGAGAATGGGAAGTAGAAGGAAGAGGGTTTTCAAGGCAGTGACTCTGAATCACCAGGATCAGGAAAGAGAAGAGGATGTACAAGTCTGCTGTCATTGGATGGGGGAAGTGCCTTCCCAAGATTTCAAAGTATACTAGGCCAATGGGTGAATTCTGTAGCTTTGCCTCTGTGGCCTTTACTGTACGAGGCCAGTTTAGACTGTCAAACCTTCAAGACTCCATATCCCTGTTAGCAAAGGCTATGGGGAAACTCTTTGTAGGTTCTGACGTGCCAAGCCTGAAGCACTTAGGACTCACTTCCTCCAGGAAGCTTTCCCACGAACCTTCACCTCAAAATGTTGACTTCTCAGTTTTGCATTCCTAGGCCCTCAGCTACAGTTTGCACTGTAGCTATTTCTTTGCATTCTTAGTTGTTCCCTTTAAGGTAGTCATCTTATTAAAAGGTAAACTTCTTGAGGTCAAGGCCCAAGTCTTCTTAGATAAACAGGTGAGTTTTTTAGCGACTGAGGGGAAATAGAGTAAGCTAGGTAGTCATTCCATGCCTGGATTCTCTGGGCACCTCTGAAATTCCCCACATCCAGATACTGTACCACTCATGACTTTTCTCACTATTGATTTCAATTTAACGAGCATTTATTTAGCACCTACCAGACATAAGCCCAGGTCCTTGATGCTAGGAATCTAAAGACAAAAAAGCTAAAACAATCCTTAGCCTTAAGGAGCTTATAGTCTACTGGGGGAAACAACACACATTGATTAGTAAATGTAATGCCTAGCAAAGTCCAATTCTTCTTTTATCTGCCTCAGGGTACCTAACATACAGCAGGCACTTAAAATTGATAAATTAATAAGTTCATCCAAACAGCCTGAAGGTCACTAGCTCCTTCCATTCAGTCACTCATCATTTCATTCATTCAACTGTTATGTATGTTAAAAAACTGTTTATCCCAGAAAAAAAAATATGGAAATATGTGCATGGGTTGACAGCATAAGCAGCCCAAAGCTTCAGCCCATGATGACTTTAGGCCTTTCCTCCCCTCCATCTTGCTAAGTATAAGTATTTCAGTCCACCAGAATTTTTTGGAGCACAGAAGGACTGAAGGGTACAGTGAAGGAACACTGGTTTTAGAGTCAGACCACTTGCTTGGATTTGTATCTGGATTTTGCCACTTACTATGTGACCTTAAGGAGTCATTCCTCCTTTCTGGACTTGTTCTCTCATCTGTAAAAATGAAAGGGTGGGGCTAATTGACATCCAGATTCCCTTCTGGTTCTAAATCTTTGAAACTCAGGAGGCTTAGGTTCTAGTACCCACTCTTTCACTACCTTACAATATAACCTTGGGTAAGTCTCTCCAGGCCTCAGTTTCCTTATCTATGATATGAAAAGCCTGGCTTGTAATCTCTCAGATTCCTCTCAATTCATCCTCTTTAGGAGCCAACATCTTTACATAACAAGTCCAAGCATCCTACCTGACATGGACCTCTTCCTATAGGTAGCATTAAGTCCATAGGATCAGAGATGAGGGTTGAAAGGTTCCTTAGAAGTTATCCAATCCAAATCCTTCCTTGAGGAATCCCCTACAGGGGATGTACAAAGAGGCTGGGTGATTTGTTTCAGGTTGTACAGGTAATAAGTGATAGAGTCTGAATTTGAACCCCGGTCCTCTTATTCCAAATCCAGCACTCATCCCACTGAATGGAAATTTCAAAGTGTTAAGGAGCAGTAGGGGTCTCCTCTCCCAGCAGGGATGATAGTGGAGGGGAAAAGAGACCCTCTGATTTGGGGAAAACTAAAGTGGAAAAGGCTTCTTATTTGAGGAGGGGCTAGCTAAGGAGCAGAATTAGCAGAGGGCCATAGAGTAAACATTAGGGAAAGAGAAGATAATTGAAAGGAATATCAGAGAAATGTATTTTAGGAGATGCTTCCAAACCTTAGAGGGTACCAAGACTGTTTTGAAAGACAAGATCCAAAAGTGAACAGAAGCCTCAAAAGAAAACCTGGTTGGAAGGTGTCAGTCCTGGCCTGCTGTCAGCTCTGGAAGTCAGAAATGAGTCAGTCAAAGCCTCAGTCACGTCCCTGACAATTAATTCTGGGCCCCCACATGCCAGTCACAACATGAAGCAGCCTGATAAAAATGAAAAACTTGCTAATGCCTTAGAGCACAGCCTTATCGCTCCCTTTCACTGGTCAGCTTCTATTAAACATTTTTACTTTATATTTTATTCATGGCAACAGCATCTATTGCATTTAAAAAATTTGGTGTGCCTGCAGGGGCTATATCTGCTTATTTATTATATTGAGTCATGCTGCATATTTTGTTAATAGAAAAAGTAAAAACAAAAATGGCAATCATTCACATACACATGGGCTCCTGGGCTTCCCAAGGATCCTGAACATACACAATGAGAACCACTAGAATGGACAATGCTTAAGGTCCCTTCCATCTCAAGATCTCATTAGTTACCACATAGGCAATTGTGTCTAGCCAGAGAGATCCAGGAACAATGGCATTTTATAGGACCATGGGATTTAGAGCTAAAAGGGTCATGGGTGATCAAGTCCACCCCCTTCATTTGACTGATGAGGAAAATGAGGCCCACAGAGAGGTCAAGAAGCTTGAAGAACACAATACCTTACATGTATAATAACAACAGCAACTCATTTCTATGGTGCTTTACGGTAGGGCAGTCATTATCTCCATCTTATAGACAATTAACTGAGACTCAGAGAATTTAAATGACTTGTCTATGATCACACAGTTAGTAATTATCGGAGCTAAGGTCTCCTTTCACCAAGTCTGGGACTCTTTCCAATACAACACAGTTTATATGTTACTAACATAAATGTGATGTGCATGTTAATAATTTATAATATAATAATTTACATTATTTAAATGTACATTTGAACAATACCATTTAATCCTTCCATATGCCTTCTGACTTTTCAAAGGGCTTCAGTGTCCCCTATCTCATTTAATCCTCACAACAACCCTGTGAGATAGACAGATAGGGGTTTTTGTTGTTGTTCAGTTGTTTCAAGTCATGCCTAACTCTTCATGACCCCATTTGAGCAAAGATACCGAGGAGGTTTGGATTTCCTTCTCTAGCTCATTTTACAGATGAGGAAACTGAGGCAAAGAGCGTTAAGTCACTTGCTTAGGGTCACACAGCTAGGAAGTGTCTGAGGCCAAATTTGAACTCAGGTCTTCCTGACTCCAGGCCCCATGCTCTATCCACTGAGCCATCTAGCACCTCCAGGATAAAGATTATTACCCCCATTTCACTGATGAGGAAACTGAGGCACAAAGGTGTCATCAGAGTCATACAGGTCATACAGGTCAGTGTCGTACATCAATTCAGTGACAGTCAGATCTAAAAACCAGATCTCTTGACAAATCAACAATTACATGTATTTATTTATGCATTCAATGAGCTATAGGAGATAAAAGAATAACTAAGACCTAAGCTTACCCTAAAGGAACTTAAAATTTCACATAGGCAACAACTTGATTTTTTTATATCAAGCTATAGGGTAGGTATAGAACAAGCAGACAGTTAGCAGGGCCTCCTGTTCATCTTTCTTTTACATCTCCTCTCCTCTCTGAAAACATCTTCCATTCAGCTGCCTGTGGCCTAGGACCAGAAATCCCAAGGCTTCCTCCCCTCCCCACCAAACATGATGATGCTGTCTGTTCCCTCTCCTTTTGCTTCCAAATTGAACAGCTGGCCAGGGATTATCCTAATCATTAAAGGACCACCATGAAGGGAAAAGGGAACTGTTTGTATCTTGTTTGTCTCCTTTGTATGGTACTTACCCAGCCAACCTGACAGCACAGCTATTCTAAAACCACTCTTAGTTGCCTTAAATAGACTTGGAGCTCCTTGAGGGCCAGGCCATCCAAATCTCTTACTTCCCTGTGGGTGCCATAATACCTAGCATGTGACTTGGCATGTGGCAGGGTTCAAAAAGTACATGTTGGATGGCTCCTCAGAATGCAGGAGCAGGGGTTTTAGAAATGGATGATCCTCAGAGTTCATTTAGAGCAGGGCTTCTTTACCTGGGGCCTGTGGGGTCCATGGATAGATTTCACAAGGACTGTGAACTTGGTTGGGAAAAAAAATTCCATCTTTATTTTCACTAATCTTTGGCTTCTTTTGTAATCTTATCTATTTATTCTATGCATTTAAGTAAAGTATTCTGAGAAAGGGTCCCTAAGCTTTTACCAGACTGCCCAAGGGGTCCATCTGTGACAAACAACAAGGCTAAGAATCTCTGGTTAGAGCAACCTCCTATTATAAATGAGGGGATTGAAGCAGAGAGGATGATCTGCCTAAGGTCATATGAGCAGTAATGTGGCAGAGCTAGAAAAAATGAACCTAGGTCCTCTGCTTCCAAATCCAGTTATCTTTATATCACAGAATTAGAATTTTTTTTTTAAACAACTGAAAGCTATAAAGCTCACCGTCCTAACTTTACAAAAGAGGCTTAGTTTCTGAAAGGGACTGGTCCAAAATCAGAGCTTTTAGTGACAGAGATAGACAACCCAGGTCTCCTAACTCTTAGTTTAGTAATTATTACTGGACTATGGGTGAAAAAATGAATATGTGAACAAACAAATTAATACTGAACACCCATTGCATCTAGAACACTACGATGATTGCTAAGGGAAAATGCAAAAAGAAAAGTGTGAACAAAAACTCCCAAACCCAACCCACTGTACTCCTAAAAAAAACCCCTTACTCTTAAATGAGTTTAGTTAGGCTAATGGACCTACAACCAACTGTCCAGCATTTCTATGCTGCGACCAGTGGTGTAGCTGAGTGAGTGCAATGGGAAAGGAAGTGTACTGGATGCGATATTAAAAGGGATGCAGATAGGTCTGTCTCCAGCTCAGGTCCAGCCCCTTCATTGGTATCACCATGATGGTACCCATGAAGAAGGGGAAGGAAAGGAATAAGTATTGATGTGGTGCCTACTGTGTGCCAGCCACTGTGCTAAGCTCTGTTTTTTTATTATCTCATGACCCTCACAACAACCCTGGGAGGTGAGTCTTTTATTATTTACAGTTAAGGAAACTGAGGCAAATAGAAGCCAAGTGACTTGTCCAGGATCACATAGCTAGTAGGTATCTGAGGCTGGATTTTATCTCAGGTCTTCTTGACCTTGACTTAGCTGCCTCAAACCATGCTGAGGGAAGGGGTGAAATCTTTTATTTCTATGACATCTCCCCTACCCTTTAACAATGACCCTCATATAGTTAGTATTCAACAAATATCTTAAACATATTCCTTTTAAAAGTGAGTTTTAGGGGACAGCTAGTGCAGTGGATAGTGCATCAACCCTGGAGTTAGGAGGACCTGAGCTCAAATCTGGCCTCAGATACCATCTAGCTGTGTAACCCTGGGCAAGTCACTTAACCCTGCTTGCCTCCAAAAAAAGTCCCAGTTGGGCTTTAGATGGAGGTAGAAGGAGGTTTGGGAGGAGACAAGCTGTTGAAAGATTTGGGGTTCAAGACCATTTGAATGAAATGGGATCAATATCAGCGAAACACTATGAAAGGCACGCTGGGCCAGGAATCAGAAGAGCCCTGGACTCAGACCTTGACCCCAACATTTACTAGCTATATACCCATGGACAAGGTCTTAATGGGAAAGAGTTACCTTCCTAGGACTTAGTTTCCTAAGTCTTTTTGTGGAATGGGACAGATAAAAGCAATGCATTTGCAACTAAAGAAAAGACTGACACAAAGAAGGAAAAAAGAGAAAGAGGGAAGCTGACAGTGGACAGAATTTTATAATCACACCTCTGCCATCAGGTTTTTTAATCATGCTTTCTTGGACTCTAGATAAATACCTGGACTGATGCCTTTTTTTCTGTTTTTCCAAGTGAGCGAGTTCCTCTTTTCTTCAAGGAATGCTGGAAGGAGATAAACAGGGAACATTGATAAAGCTCTCAGATTGTGAAGTAGTGTTTATAAAATACCCACAGATGGCCAGTTCTGGGCCAAACATACACAATAGTTACCTCCACCCTCCCACAGCCCTTGCCTTAAAAAATCAGATCTTGTCAGAGCTAGAATATTGAATGTCATGACTAGGAAGGGCCTTAGAACACTGAATGTCTGAGCAGGGAGAGTCCTTGGAGATCACTTCAGCATCCTTATTTTACAGATGAGAAAACTGTGGATCACAGAGGAGAAGGATTTGCTCAAAGTCATATAACCCGTGACTGGCAGAACCAGGAAGAGAACCTGGGCGTCTATCATACCACACTGCCTCTACACCGAAAAGGCCTTGTTCTTTGTGAAGAATTCTTGTTTTTCAATAGAAGGGCTGATCCAAATCTTAGTCTGAAGGTAGGACGTTTGCAACACTCCAGAAAGTGGAAGAGCTCACATACCAGTGGAAATAAGAATTTTTATACTGCTTAGCCAGAGGTGACTGAAAATTGTGAAGTCTCAGTGGAGAGTCTCTTAGTCAAGTCTTTTTTCTCTCCTCTTTCCTCTCCTGTCGCCTCTACTTTTTTTTTTGTAAAATAAATTCTTACCTTTTTATTCCTTTGTTTTTCATTATAATCATAATATTATTCTGTAGCACTTTAGAGTTTACAAAGCACTTTTCTCATGAAGAATCTTTTGAGGTTGGCAGTGTTAAGTATGTATCATTACTTCCTTTTACCGGTGTTTGGTGATTAAGGTCTAAAATTCAAAGTTGGAATTGGAGTAATACAAAATGAAATAGCTTATATAAAGCACTTTGCAAATTTGAATCCATTATCCCCACCCCCACAGTGTAGGTGGCTTATCCTCTAGTCTTGATTAAAAATAAAAACTCTGTCATCACCCAGCCCCTCCAGATTGACATAGTAACCTATACTCCCTCACACTGAATGAGTCCCGCTTTAAATTTTATTAGGACTCTCCTGTGTTTGTAGACCATTCCATTAAGCATGGGGAAATCCCATCAATGGAAATTGAGGGTGAATTCAGACCTATGAGAGGCAATCATGAATTTCACCCAATTGGACTTTAGATGGAGGCAGGAGGAGGTTTGGGAGGAGACAAGCTGTTGAAAGATTTGGGGTTCGAGACCATTTGAATGAAATGGGATCAATATCAGTGAAACAGTATGAAAGGCACGCTGGGCCAGGAATCAGAAGAGCCCTGGACTCAGACCTTGACCCCAACATTTACTAGCTATATACCCATGGACAAGTCACTTAACTTCTATAAGCCTCAGTTTCCTCTTCTGTAAAATGAAGATAATAACAGAACTTATATAGCAAGGTTTACAAAGCAAGTTACTAGTAATATCTCATTTGATCCTCTCAATAACCCTGGGAGATAAGTGTTATTCTCCCCCATTTTATGGATAAGGTAACTGAGACATAAAGAAATTAAGTTACTTGTCCAGGGTCACACAGCTAGGTTCCAAGGCTTGGATTTGAAGTCAGGTCTTTCTGCCTCAAGGCCCAGTGCTCTACTTACTTCCATCACCCTGTTGCCCCAGTAATTCTTCTAGCAACTTCTTCATAGTTTGTGAGAATGATCAGATGGGGAGATGCATGTAAAACACTGGAATACCTCAAAGCAATATATAAATGTCAGTTATTATTATAAAATCACCCCTCTTCCTCATCACTTTAGCTGCCCCCTGGGGCATGGTGGTTCAGCCACAAGAGTGAGATGAGGTAATGAAGAGAACTTAGACCTAGGAGGCAGAAGGCTTGGATTTCAGCCCCAGTCTGATGCTTCTCAGCTGTGTGGCCTTGAGTAAGTCATTTAACCTTGATGAAGCAGTGACTTGAGTACTCTTGGAATTATCCAGAGCACAGAGAAGTTAAATGACTTCCCCAGGTAACACTGGCTTAACCCCAGGGGACTGTGACTGAAGACAGCTCTCAATCTGTGACACCAAGCTGCCTGTCACAAGCTACTTTACTACCCTGGACAAATTATTTAATCTCTCTGAGTCTCTGTTTCCACCTCTAAAAAATAAAGGGATGGGGATAGCTGATCTCTAAGGTCCTTCCAAATCTAAATCCTATGGTTCTGAGGGCCTCGGTTTCCTTACTTAAACAACTTCTGTTTGGCATTCAAAGCCCATCATACTCTGGCCCCTTCCTACCTTTTGCATACACCTTCCCATCCCTTCCCCCCCACCCTGATACATGGCTTACCCTGCTGTTCCTTGAACTAGATGCCCCATCTCCTGCCTTCATGCATTTTCACTGGCTGGTCCTCACGCCTAGAATGTCCCCCCCCCCCCCATCCCCCAGCCTCCTGGCTTCTCTGGTTTCCTTCAAGTCTCAGCTAAAGTTTCTGCAAGAAATCTTTTCCAGTCCTCCTTAATCTTGGTGCCCTCCCTTTAACAGTATCCCCAATTTATCACCCCTATCTATCTGGGGTGGTTAGGTGGTGCTGTGGATAGAGTACTGGCCCTGTAGTCAGGAAGATGCATCTTTCTGAGTTCAAATCTGACCTGGGTCAGTTACTAGCTGTGTGACCCTGGGCAAGTCACTTCACCCTGTTTGCCTCAGTTTCCTCATCTGTAGAATGAGCTAGAGAAGGAAATGGCAACCACCCCAGTATCTCTGCCAAGAAATGACTGAACAACAACAAAATCTATCTATGTCTTTTTTGTACATGGTTGTTTATGTCTTGTCTCTCCTGTTAGACTGTAGTCTCCTTTAGGGCAAGGAATGTTTTTTGGTTGTTCTTTTTGAGTTTTGTTTGTTTGTTTGGCTGTTTTGCCTTTTATTGTAACCCCAGTGCTTAACACTGGCACATGTAGGTTCATTTTATTGATTAATTGACAATAGAGGTAATAATACTTGAACCTCATAGTTAAAGGGTTGCAGTGAATATCACAAATGAGATAATGACTGTATGTAAAATGCTTTGCAAATTCTTGAAATCCTATCTGCATATAATCCATTATTCTTCCTCTTAATAAATAGTTTAGAGTAGATTCAAGAAAAGGTTCACTTCAGGCAATGTGACTTAAGTCAGGAGAAACAGGTGTTCAAATCTTACCTTGAATACTTACTAGCTATGAAACACTGGCAACTTAACCTCTCTGAGCCTCAGTTTCCACATCTATAAAATGGGGATAATGATGCCTGTAGTACCTATCATGAGGGTCCAGTGTAATAATGTATATAAGATCAAGTTTCTTATAAAGTGTAGGGAGCTCTAGAAACATCAGTTATTTTTCTAGAATACAAAGAGCTTTCTCTTTACAGAGGCTGCACTAATACTAGCTGTCTGTTTTTAGGGCTGGCTCCAGACCTTATTAAAGGACTGGTCCAGTTTCCTTTGTTTTTGCTACAGGACAGGGGACAGGAACTCATGTAAGGAGGTGGGGAGGAGGAAGAGGCCTACCTCCTTTTTCCAGGCTGGCAGACATTGTGGCAGTGCGATTCCTAATCCATTTGTAATTGCTGCTGTCAGATGCTAAATGGTACTTTGGAGACTGTGGAAGAGTCAGAAATAAAAGCTGTACCAGCCTGGATTTTTGCCCGGCTCCCCACCCTAACCAGAGCCCACAGAAAGGACTAAGGAGGCTTGGCACCCTGAAGGACATTCTTCACCCACCACCTTTTTCAGAGACTCATTTCCACAAGGTTGGTTTTGTTCTTTGTAAACAGGAGCCCTGCAGGGAAGAATGCTAGTTCCCAGTAATCCCCGGGCTCTATGGCCAGGGTAACAGCAGGTAGCCAGCCCTCAAGGCAAGAACTACTTCCTGATGGCCTGCTGGGAGCTGGCCCTGGGCTAAGCACTCAGGAGATTTTTGAGAAATAATTTTTAAAAAATCAAAACAACTACAATAGTTGCCAATTCTGTGGAGCATTCAGGTTTCAAAGTGCTTTTGTTACAACTGTCATATTAGAGAGAGAATGCAAATATCATCAATCCTATTTTAAAGATAAAGACATCAAGGCTCAGAGAGATTATTACACGAATTACCCAAGGTCACCAAATCTTAGAGTTAGAAAAGAACACCGAGGCTGTCTGGGTCAACCCATACCTGAACAGGCCCCTCTCGAAACACATCCAGCCTGTACTGTAAGACAGCCATTGGGAGTGGAAACTCTACTTCCCAAAACAGCCCATTTGACTTTTGCACAGCTTTAAATGTTAGGAAGTTTTTCCTTCAGATGAGGCTAAATCTATCTCTCTCAGCAGTTTCCACTCATTGTGCTAAGTTTTGCCTTTTGGAGACCAGCAAAACAAGTTTCACTCTTTCAAATGATAGTTCTTCAAATCCTTGAAGACTACTATCATATCCTTCTAACATTTTTCTTCATCAGGCCACCCCTTCCTCAAATTCATCATCATCATCACTAACATTTATAGGGTACTTTAAAAGTGTGCAAAGCACTTTACAAATATCTCATTTTATTCTCCTAAAACCTGGGGAGGTAGTTGCTATTATCATCTCAGAGGAAACTGAGACAGTCAAGAGTTAAGTGACTTGCTCAAGGTCACCCACCTATTAAGTATCTCAAGCTGGATTTGAATTCAGGTCTTCCTGACTCCAGGCCCAGTGTTCAATCCACTGCACCGTATAGCTGCATAAATATGGTATAACCTCATTTACCAGCCTGGTTGCTCTCTCCAGCTTATGAATATGCTTCTTTCCATGTGGCATTAAGAACTGAACATAATATTACAGACATGGTCTCACTATGGCAGGCTACAAAGGGACTATCTGCCTAAGCTACCTTGGTCTGGAAGCCATGTTTCTCTTAATGCAGTCTAAGGCCCCAGTGGTTTAGTTTTCTTGACTATTACATCCCACTTTTGACTCATACTGATCTTTGCAGCCCATTACAACCTCCAAAGTCTTTTCAGCTGTTTAACTATCTAGTCACATCTTCTATATCTTGTGAAACAGATTTTTTTCAACCCAAGT